TCTAGGTGACCTACCCCAGGAGGTAGTGAACACTATCACTTCGGCAAGAGCACCGTATGAGACACGCTTACACCTTGAAGTGGAACCTGTTCGTAGAGTGGTGTTCTTCTCGCCGAGAAGACCCTCGGAGATGCCCGATTGCGGTCGTGCTTTCCTTTCTGCAGCAAGGGCTGGAGCGAAGGCTGTCTCCCTCCACCCTCAAAGTCCAGGTTGCTGCTATTGCTTCGTACCATGACCTGGTGAATGGGAAGTCCGTAGGTAAGCATGACCTCATCATCAGGTTCCTTAGAGGGGCCAGGAGGTTGAATCCTACCCAGCCCCCCTCTATACCCTCTTGGGACCTGTCTCTAGTGCTAAAATCACTACAGCAGGGCACATTTGAGCCTTTGCATTTAGCTGAGCTAAAGTTTCTTTCATTGAAAACTCTGCTCCTGCTTGCACTGGCCTCCATCAAGAGGGTAGGGGACCTGCACGCATTTTCGGTCGACGATTCGTGCCTAGAGTTTGGGCCGGCTGACTCCCAGGTAATCCTGAGGCCCCGGCCCGGCTACGTGCCCAAGGTTCCCACTACACCCTTCAAAGACCAAGTGGTGTACCTGCAAGCGCTCCCCCCGGAGGAGGCAGACCCAGCCCTGGCTTTGCTCTGTCCCGTCTCGAGTATTAAGGTGCTATGTAGACCGGACACAAAGCTTCCTGGATTGTGGATGCCATCATCCTGGCTTATCAGGCACAGGGTGTGCCCTGCCCATTCAGGCTGTGAGCTCACTCAACTAGAAGTGTTGCATCCTCCTGGGCATTGGCTCGTGGCGCCTCGCTGACAGATATTTGTAGGGCTGCGGGCTGGGCGACCCCCAACACGTTCGCTAGATTCTATAGCCTCCGTGTGGAGCCGGTATCCTCCTGTGTTCTCACCTCAAACGGGTAGTGGCGCCGAGAGGCCCCGGTTAATGTCGGCTTGCTAAAACTGCTCCAGAGTGTCCTACAGTTGACCCTGTTGAGATCCTCCGTCACCCTCGGCAGTGGACGCGGCGTAATGTCCGGCGCCGGGCCTTCACAATGAATCCGCGGGAACCGTGGAAGGCTGGGTTCCATATTGAGACCTAAGCGGTTCTCGTATGTGTATAGCCCACGGTATAGCCATAGAGCCCATGTTTCCCCGGCAGACTTCTGCCTTTC